GATTCAACCGAAGGTAACCTGCATTAAATAGATATCTACCTGGTCTTATCATACAAACCACCACCACATTCCTTGATAACAACAGGATTTACTAATCACGAGTTTTAAAGAAAAAACTGGGTATTCCAGCAGGTCTTCTGCCAGCCGGATCTCAATCTTTTGGACTACAAATTATGTCCAATGTTGATCAGTCGAATCATTCGAATCTTTGAAAAATGTTCTGATTAAAGCAGTCCGGGCTGCAGTGGATTAGCATCGCCATTCTGGCAGAAATGTCCGATGTATTTGCATAATTCAGCTTATATAAATCAATGAAATCAATCAATTTTATTATCAATTTAAGTTTACCGCTGAACCACTGGAATTATGTTTTGGAATAATAAAAATTGTAGATTCATAATTTGGAATTAATTGAAAATAGAAACGATTGCATGTGACACAGAAGAAAGTGTAATGTTCATAATAAGTTTTGACTATCGATAAAGTCAGATTAGGCTAGAATAAGTTCGAATCGAAACATTCGGGATTTTATTGCACTTGCAAGAAGTGTTAAATGCTTTTTTTTCTACTTGGCGTGATTCAAATTGTACCATTAGCTGTAATTGTCCGGAATCCGCGATGAGGAAAAGACTCGGAAGGCGGCCTTGCCAAGTTGGGAACGGCAGTCGAAACACGGCGGACCCATCGAAGTCGGGGATCGTAATGGGCTCGTCTTATCCCGACGTCAATATCTCAGGGGAAGCGATTATCTACAACTTGTTGCCACTTTTCAAACACGATCCGGACGGGTGAGACACGAAATACACACGAACGGATTTTTTTCTCTCAATACATTCAATTTTCGTTGATATTTGCTAAATAGCCAAACAGCAGGCAGGTTTTAACTAGTTTGGTTCAAATAAAAATAAATCGCTGATTTCCATAGTAAAAAATATTATATATTCACTAAATTTTCTTGAGGGTTGTGTTGGTTTTGGGTGGAATTCCATCATTCAGGGTTTAAATTAGGCGTTTAATTACTCCAGTATTTATATTTTATATATACCAAGATCTAATAAGTTGATTTTTCTGTCTGAACTTTAGGGTAAATTTTATATTTTTATCCAGGTCATTCAATCTTTCTAAACATTCTCTATCTTTCTATTCTATTCATTTCCAAAGTACTGGACTGTTAACCATGTAAATCAATAATTATAGTTCGTTGAACAGAATATATTTTCAAGTTGTTCTATATACAGGGTGTCCCGTGAAGAGGGAGATTTTTTTTTAAACAAGGGTTCGAAACAGCAGAGGTTATATGAACCCTCGGGGTGCCGGTGTTTTTGAAAAACGCCCATTTGTAAGTATGTCGGGGCCGCTGGATTCGAACCCGGGACCTTTACCTTACAGTGATGACCGTTGCGGCCACCAACGCCCCCTTATTCTACATTTCAAATGAGAATAGAGTCCCTATTATTCATAATTTGTTTCTCTACGATATATTTCATTTTTCGATTTTTCCAGCCTTATTCAACTTATTCCGTAAATTCCAGCGTAAAATGTTAATTCTGTTGAAAATTTGATTACTCTAATAGAAATTGCGTTAAAAACCCTATGAGATTCATTTGTTTTTTTCAATTTTAAGCCTAAGCAAACAAAATTCAAAATCGCTTAGGTGAACTTTTACGAGTTTACGAAAGTTTTTGTCTAAAGTTTAAGTAAGATTATTTTGGCTCTGCAGATACTGACAAAACGGCGCTTACAGAAAAGTTCCCCTATTAATGAGCTTTAAACATATGTACTTGATTTTTCAAATTTCATTTATCACCAGTGCAAAAGTAACGTTTAATTGATAATAATTTGATTTTTTGGTTACAAATCTTTTAAAATATTAATTAATATTAATTAGCATTAATATGTTGAAACTTATATTAAAAATAATTAAATGTTTGTAACCCAAAAATCAAATTTTTAACAATTTAGGGGCAAGTTTTTTGCAAGTGCCATATCAGTTAGTATCTATAGAACCAAGAAAATCGTACTTAAACTTTAAACAAGAACAATGGAAAATTGAAAAAAGTTTATCTTCTAACTAAACTTCTAATTTTGTATTTTTGTTGCTTAAATATAAAAAAAGAGTCTTGTAGGATTTTTAATGCTCTTTCTATCGATGCAGTCAAATTTAGAGTAGGATCAATATTTTATTAAATACGGGAGCTTTGTGGGTCAAGTTATGAAAATTTGAAAATGAATGAAAAAAGTGAAATATCTCGAAAACGATTGAGAATAAGACTACGCATGATATAGGCATTTTAATCTCATTTGCAAAGTAGAATAACCTCCTAACATACAAGATTGTTCGCTGACACCCTGTATATTTCTTCTAAAAGCCGGCTCGTCGGAAATCCAATCGCTAATCCTTTTGATAACTTGTATTATTTTCCGTCAAATTGAAAATAATTATTGTTGTGTTATTATTATTATTAATTTTTAAGGGCGTTTTAACGCGTCATTTCACGCCCTAACATCCAAACCTTCTATCTTAGGTTAGCTATATCTCTTCTGAGTGCTATAAAGCTCTGACTCCAAACATTCACTCGTAATCTTATTTATCCTATTGCCATCCAAGCTTTAATTTTTCTTTTTAAAATTCTTAATTCGGAAGGCCAAATGTATACAAAATTCCCATTTTAAATTGCATAAAATTTAATAAACTTATAAAATTTATTTCTGTTTCTTTTTTTAATTAGAATTGTGAATTTTGTTCCATAATTTAAAAATCCCCCGTAGGCTTGTATGGCTAATAATAATAATAATAATGGAGTCAGACTAGCAACAGTCTCAGCATGAGTATAGGGCTCATCCTTATCCTTTTATTCTTCCATTCAAATATGATAAATAAACTAATACTACATAACAATAATAAGAAACAAAAGAAACACATTAACACTTTTTTTTTGAGGGAGCTATTTTTCTTATTTAAATTGCGATTTTGGGCATTGCAGTTTATTCCCCCGCAATTTGTATTTTCTTCCATTTCATTTTTCCGCTCCGGCAGCCTCAAAAACTTCTGAAAAAAGAAATCTTGCACGCACAACTTTTATTCAAACATTAGCAGGCATTCAATGGTATAACAATTTGGGAAAATGCCTAAATCTCATTATAAATTCCAATAAATTTGAGAAAGCTGAAAAAGTGCTCTTCGAAAGAAACACTGTGTAGTGTTTCTAGTGCTTTTGCTATTTTTTGATTCAACACTTTCTCCTGTATTATTTTCTTTCCCAATAACTTACATTGTTCGACTGGTACGATGGAGAATAGATTTGCTACATCGAAACATACCAAGAGTTGCCCCTCTAACAATGGTGTATCTTTTATAGTTTTTATGGCTTCTCTTCTTATTTAAAAAAAATCATATATGTTGTCTTGAATTCTGTAAGTGCCCTGAACATGGCCCAGTTAATGTTGTAACCTTACCTTTTCCCTTGGAAGTTATATACTTTACTACTTTTGGTTTTTATAGTGTTTTTGGTCTCTATGGACTTTTTTAATCCGTTGAACTGAGGCACCTTGGGGTTTATCTGCGTAAGGTCGTTTCCTTTAGGATTGGGGCAACTTAGCACTGTTATTCACTATGTCTTGAACTTGGTAGTGACATCTTATGGGGTAAGGAATTTTTTTTATTATAAACTGATTTGTCAGTTATTACTATGCTGCCTTTGTCCGCCCTTAACATTTTAAAACTTCTGTTTTAGTTTCCTTAAACATCTTGTTTCTTTATTTTTTTAAATTTTGATACTATCATTCGTTTATTTATCTGTTTTTCTTCATTGTAGGGAATGGCTAGTTCTAAGCCCAATTCATTATCCAAAATTAATTAAGAGGTCTTTTGATGCTGGAACTGAAGGCGTAATTTAAATTGTAATATTTTTAGGAATATGTATGCATTACATGAAAATCATAGGTTATAGAAATCATTGCGTGTTGCGTATCATGGTACAGGTTTTTCCTCATGATGTAGACTTTCATTACCACTCCTTCGCTATAAACAAATGACTTCATCGATGATCAAAGAAAATATATGCACATTCAATTCAAATTTGTAAAAATTGATATGTCAGCCCGTGATTTTTTTTTGCGACGGTTGCCGGTGTTTTTGAAGAAAAAAACCATTTGTAAGTACATATATCAGGTTTGAATGCAGGGCAGCTGGATTCGAACCCGGGACCTTTATCTTACAGTGATGAACGCCTTGTTACTTCGTTATTTTTAAACAACAGCTCTCATCGTGTACATTCTTTTTGAGTGAGATTTGACGCATCACAATGTAAGCTAAAAATTTAGTATCTCAAATTCCATGTTCATACAAATCATTGGAATTCCTCATGTAAAGTGAAAATTTGAATTGATAAGCTAATCGCCCTAAACCCATCGAGATAAATCAAACGTTTTCCTCCAGCCCGGGATAATATCTTCTTGAGCGCTTAACTCTAGTTATTATTTAAATCCGTTGAAGATTTCAGTGTTGAAGCTAAATTTCTCTTAATCAGCAATAAAACGACAGTAATGCTACAATTAAAGTCCAACAGTCCACCCTGGCACGAAGGCCAGGGGTCAATTTTGAAGACGAGCCATAAACTTCAGCCTAATTTTCTTCGTGCGTCAATAACAATTCCTGTCTTACACAGTAATTAACTACAATTAACAATTAAACATACCTCGCAAATTATCAAATTGTTCGATTATCTCCACGCGATGTAGGTGTTTAATGTGAGACGTTCAAGACAAACCTTACCATTTCATTTCGCAATTTTTTAAGCTCTATTTATGTAGTATGCTGTAGAAATATTTAACCTTTAATAAAAACGGACGATTTCCTCGGAACGCGGGGGATCCAATTTGAGTGAAAGCAGTTTTGCGATTAACTCCGACCCGCTCGGCGGAAATGGTAGCATTTTCACTTCCTTTTAACCCGGAGCGTTTGTTGTAATTTCTCTGCTAATCTGTAAAATCTGTTCCAGGCGGAGAGAGATAGTCTGGAATGTACCAACAAGGAGCTTGAAAAGCTTCTGGAAGCCAAGGAGGCCCTGGTCGACCAAAAGGAAGACGAGCTCTTCCTCCAGTTGGAGAAAGCTATAAGACTGGAAGAAGACTGTGAAAAGGTAATGTCATGTTTTGGATAAATTTCTATTTTAGATTATATATATTGTTCTTTGTTTTATTACGTTGATCTCAATTCTTCCTAATTTTGGTTGTAAGAGTGATTTAACCATCGTCATTGATCAGGATGGTTTATGTAAATGCCGTCTGCTCCGTACATATATTGAAAAATAACACAAGACAGCCACTAACGAAGTTTATTCTCAAATTCCCTAGTTTCGTGGTCCGCTTGACCAATTAATATCTTTCAATTAATTAAGGTTTTTAGTTGAGATAAAAAAGTCAGTATCACGAGCGGGATTCGAACCCACGACCTTCGGCTAGATACACCGCTGCTATACCACTTGAGCTATCATGACCTCCACTCGGACACTAATTTTCCATCTCAACCCCACCTTTTGAACTTTACCCCACCTTTGCCATGAAAAATGGCAAAAAGGAGGGAAAATTCAAAATGTGGGGTTGAGTTGGGAAGTTTGTGTCCGAATGGATCGAAGTCACTATGGCTCAAGTGGTAGAGCTGCGGCGTAATCTAGCCGAAGATCGTGGGTTCGAATCCCTCTCGTGACACTGAATTTTTTTTATCTCAACTAAAAACCTTAATTAATTGAAAGATATTTATTCTCAAAATTCAATCTTTCAAATGCACAATTAGACTTAAAATGTTGCTCGTAAAACTTCTACAGGATCCATTCATTCGTATAAACAGTTTTACATAACAGCTCATGTCTTATTGTTTTTACATGTAAAGTGAGTTTACCATCTTTCATTGCGAAATGCCGCAGAACCTGTTTACGCCTGAATAAAATAGCCTGCTAGGAATTTTAAGTATTGGCTGTTTGTCTCAAGGTGAACACGGTATCTTTTTGGTCCTTGATTTGGCCGACTTGGCATCGTCTATTGTTAGGTATGAAGTCAAAACTGTTTTTGAAGTGCCCTATCGAATATTTTTGTTCAATTGCGTAAGAATGCATATAAAGCTATAAAATTTTGTGTTTTATAACCGAATAAATTTGTTATTGTGAGTCGAGAAGTGAAAGTGTTTACCCTCTATTTCCCGTAAGTCTCTCCGGGACAATGGAACAAACGAACAAGGAAGCTCGTGGATATCTGAACCGATCTGATTTTATCATTTTAATCGTGCCGAAAATTCGATCATCTCTTTGAAAAGTGTTTGCCCGACGTTAATCAAACGGATTTCCTTTCCTTCAAAAATGAAAACTCTCTTACGAGAAAGCGCATTCGAAACTGTTTAAAAGACAAAAAGTGTCTTCCATGAAATATGGAAACGCGCCTTTTTCCACGCTGTTTTTTTAAGGTAAAATAAAAAGTAAGTCGAAAGCTTCGAGTTTACCCTTTTGTCATCTGGTTTTCAGCCTGCATAAAACATGCTTCGACTCCAGCCGAAGTGTTTTTGTTTTCTGTTAGTGTATACATTCGTTCGAAATGGTGAGTTTCTACTTTTTGTTTCTACATTTTCACTTGTACAGTGATGAAATCAATTGGCCAAGAGTGACATTTGTTTTATTCTTTGCATACACAAAGTCTAGATTGTCATAATCGAATAGATGTTTAGTCTTCTTTTACTGGGATTACTCACGGTTTATTTTTCCCAAGGCTTTTAAAAATAATATTTATTTGACTTAAGTGCCGATACGGTAACATTTAGTAGAAGAAGAAGATCTCAGCTCAACTAAGGGAATCAATAAATTTTTGATTGGACATCCAGCTGTCCAACCTTTTATTATTCTCTCTCTCTCTCTCTCTCTCTCTCTCTCTCTCTCTCTCTCTCTCTCTCTCTC